GAGCATGGTTGTTTTCAAGTCCTCACAGCCACAGCTTTTGCTGCTTTTGCTCTCTATTTAAAGGTCAAGACTTGCTAATAAGACACTCCAGGTTGGTCCTTCAGCCGCCGAGCATCCCACGTTGGCTCTGTCCTGCCTGACAAAGGCACAGGAGTCAAACATCTTCACAGCCTCTCTCTCTTCTGGGCCTTGTACTACTACAACAAATAGGTTTTGATCTATTTCCTTTCCAACAGAGTCCTGCCCATGATTTTCAATGTGCTTTCTCCTCCCCAGCTGAACTGCTCTCAGTGGGAGACACTGATTAAGGGCCTTTGACCCTGGTGCTGTGTGGATGCTCTGGCTGAAGGCACCTCTGGTTTTGCTCCCCTGCAGGTGTGTTCTTCACCTTTCACACCTTCCACCTGGAGAATGGCCACGACTACCTCCTGATCACGGAGAACAGCAGCTTTGTGCAGCCCCTAAAGCAGCTGACGGGCTCGCGGCTCCCGGCGCCGCTCAGCGCTGGTCTCTTCGGCAACTTCTCCGCCCAAATCCGCTTCATCTCCGACTTCTCCATGTCCTACGAGGGCTTCAACATCACCTTCTCAGGTAAGGAGAGGGCTGGCCAACCACTCAGTCCTTTCCACTCCTCTGCAAGTCTCGGGAGGGATGTTCTGTTGCTGCAGTTGTGTTTGGGGCAGTGATGCTCTGGGCACCCAGTGCATTATCCTTGCAATAAACCACAGTACATCCCCAAAAATGTTCTCCTTGCAGTCCTCCTATTGCCAGAGGTACCAGTTTTGTCTGCCCTGAGTCCCAGTGGGTGACAGGATTGAACCCACTGGAATTAAATCCCACTACAGACGTGTTTGTGGCTTCCTCCCTCCTCCCCCTCATCTTTCCTGCTCCGTTTGGCAGAGTTGCAGCTCACGTTTTCCTGGGATACACTCTCCCTCTTTCCCCCAGATGCCTTCCCTGTTTATCACAGCAGTAGGTACAGCATTTCCAGCATGGGGAGCTGGGACAGATGGGATTTTTTGGAAGGCAATGCTGAGCAATCTGGAATTCTTGGATAAGGAGCATGGCAGAACTGGGCACTCCCATTGTCTGTCTGCTCCCTCTCAATTCCTTTGGTTCATTGCTCCACTTGGATGCTCAACCAGTGCCCAAACTCTGCAGCCTCCCTGGATGTGCCTCTGCTATGAGCCAGCCTGGGAGAGCTGGAGGTTCCCCTGGAGAAGAAAAGTCTCCAGGGAGATCTTAGAGCCCCTTCCAGTGCCTAAAGAGGCTCCAGAAGAGATGGAGAGGGACTTGGGACAAGGCATGGAGGGACAGGACAAGGGAAAAGGATTTCCCACTGCCAGAGGGCAGGGCTAGATGGGATATTGGGAAGAAATTCTTCCCTGGGAGGTGCTGAGGCTCTGGCACAGGTCCCCCAGAGCAGCTGTGGCTGCTCCATCCCTGGGAGTGTTCCAGGCCAGGTTGGATGGGGCTTGGAGCAACCTGGGCTGGTGGGAGGTGTCCCTGCCCATGGCAGGGATGGAATGGGATGAGCTCCTGCCCTGGCTCTGAACAGGCTGTGCCAGACAATCTCTGCCCAAAGAAGTTCCAGCAAACCAATTCTATCCTGTGTGGACTAAACATCATTGTGATGGTTGGTGACTTGGGCTGGTTGGGGTGGTACAAAGTGCTGCTGAAATCCACGAGCTGTAGGTGAGGAATCTCCTGAGCTTGGTGCTCTGGGACAGGGAGCAGAGCAAGGTGTGTTTGCCCATGCAGAGCAGATCATTGCTGCTGGGGGAGTGATCTCTGCTTGAAGGGCACAAGGTGCTTAACTGTGTCCTCTAAGCTCAAGTCCTGCAAACACCTCAAGTGTTTGCCTGTGCTCACATTCCAAGGGAATGGCAATCTTTGCTGCCTGAGTGCCCTGACAAGCTGTTCCCTAAAACAATCAGTTAAGGGACAGCAGCTTATTGCTTTGGTTCTGTTCTTTGCTCTGTCTCTCCCTGTGTCCTTCTCAGTCCTGAGGCCACAGCTGTGAATTCAGCACTGAGCTGGGGGAGAAATGACCATTTTCCTGGGGATCTCTGTGCTGACACTCACTGATGGACAGAGCTGTTGCCATAGAGGCAGATAAAACCTGCTGCACTGAGCACTGGGTTCCAGTGCCTTTGTTCTGGCCCCTGAAGTCAGGGATTTGCATGTGATACTCGATGGAAACTAGTCAGGAAAAATTCCAATTAACTTCCCTTTTTGATGGTGGGGGGAAAAAAAGACTTTTTTGCCTTTCAAAGGATTGAGTCTAATTATAACTCTAATTTTCAATGTATTTAGAGATTTCTTCCCTATTTCAAGACTTCTTGCCTATCTTGGAAAGCAAAAAAAAAATTGGGACTCAGTTTATTTTTAGCTTCCTTTAGGTATATATATCTATATGTACAGACTTTGTACTTTGCAGGGCTGTTGTTTTTCAGGAAAATCACCCCCCAAAGAGGTTTCCTTCAAAATCTGTTGAGGTTGGAGACATGGATTTGGCTATTAGCCAGAGTTCTACGTGACCTTTCTCTTCACAGCAGCTTAAGTGTTCTCTATCATTCCCCAAGCAAGTTGCTGCCTTCATTCATTTCCAGGATTAGTAATGTAGAGGCAGCAGAAATCCCATCCGGATCAATTCGTCTTCATTTGCCTAAAGCAGAGGGAGAATGACAAATTTCCATCCTGCTTTGGCACCACTGATTGGCACTTTGTTGTTTGCCCAACACAAAGCAGAACCTGCTGTGTTTCCATTGAGGTGTTGGGCACACCCTGGGGAGGTTGGATAAGGAGAGGGAAATCCAGGGTGGGTTTCATGGCTCAGATAAGATGTCCATCCTCATGGATTTGACCTTGGCAGAGTTTTGCTGCAGCTGGAACAAAGCTCAGAGCTCCATCCTCATGTGCAGGGCCTGGGGAGGATGGAGCACGAGGTGTCATTCCCTGTCATTCCACACATCTGTTTGTCCCTGTAGAGTATGACCTGGAGCCCTGTGACGAGCCAGAAGTGCCAGCCTACAGCATCAGGAAGGGGCTGCAGTTTGGGGTGGGAGATGTGCTCAGCTTCTCCTGCTTCCCTGGATACCGACTGGAGGGAGCGTCGCGCATCACCTGCCTCGGCGGGAGACGGCGAGTGTGGAGTTCGCCTCTGCCAAGGTGTGTTGGTAGGTGGTCATGTGCTTTCATTTTGCTTGGCTGGTTCCTCTGTGCTGGAGTGGTTAGGTGGTGGGCAGGGATGGGTGGAATCTCCCAGGATGGGTGGAATCCCCTGAGATGGGTCATACACCCTGGGATGGGTGACATCCTTCAGAATGGGTGAATACCCCCTGGGATGGGTGATACCTCCCAGGATAGGTGACATCTGCTGGGGATGGGTGACATCCCCCCCAGGATGGGTGATACCTCCCAGGATGAGTGACACCTCCTGGGATGGGTGATACCCTCTGGGATAGATGACATACCCCAGGACGGGTGATACACCCTGGGATGGGTGACGTCCTCCAGGATGGGTGATACTCCTGGGGATGGATGATACCTCCCAGGACGGATGACACCTCTCAGGATTAGTGACACCTCCAGGGATGGGTGGCATCCCCCCCAGGATGGGTGACACCTCCTGGGATGGGTGACACCTCCTGGGATGGGTGACACCCTCTGGGATAGGTGACATCACATGGGATGGGTGATACCTCCCAGGATGGGTGACACCACATGGGATGGGTGATACTCTCTGGGATGGGTGACATCCCCCAGGATGTGTGCTGGGATGAGCTCTCAGCCCTGCAGTGTGTGGGGATGGGAGGGATGGGCAGAAGAGCTGCAGCCCCTGCTGAGCTGGGACACAGATGGGGTGACACGTGTCCTGCAGCCTCTCTGCAGTGCTGTGCTCGAGCCCCTGTGATGGTCCAAGTGGTGTCTCCTGAGCTGTGGGACAACTGTCCTCCCTTTGGGGCAGTTTCTGGCAGCCAGCACAGATTTAGGGCCACCCTCCCTTGGAACCAGAGTGCTGCAAAGCTTCCTCGTCCACACTTGGAGTGGGTGACCTTAAGCAATGCAAATTCCACGTTAGTAGGGATGTGTCTGGAAAACCCTTTCTGGCTTTGACCTTTCCCTGGTTCTCCAGAGGTTTCTCACACCTTTCCCTTCCTCTCCTCCTGACCACTGCAAGTCCTTTTTTTAACCCTTCCAGCCACTAGTGAGACTAATCAATCAATCAATCTAAGGCTTAGAGGAGAGGAAGGATTAACCTGCAGCACTGAGCTGTTCCTGGCTGTGGTCCCTGATGGATATGAGGTGCAAGACACCCTTCCCTGGCAGGGATGGGCAGCACACAGCTCCTGCTGGGTGGGAAAGAACAGAGAACGGTGAGCCTCAGCAGGAGAGCAGCAAGGCAGCAAGATGCTCCAGGCCTTTGCACTAAGATAGAACACATTTTTTTGTTGTTGTACAGTTTAAACAGGAAATTGTTCAGAGCTGCTGCTGCCTCACCTAGAGCCCAGAAGGGATCCAGCCAGAGCAGGTCTCTTACCTGTTTGCACTGTGGCAAAGCTGCTGGGGAGATTTTCCTGCTCTGTGTGGTGACCTTTGAGGGCCATTGCAGAGAAAACATCCCCCCCAGAACCAGCTGCTTTCTCATCTCCTGTCCTGCAGTGCTGAATGCATTTCCCAGCACTGCCTAACGCTGAGGTCACAGGGCTGCAGCAGCCTGCTGTGACAGGCAGCCTCTTCAGGGCATGAATAATAATCAGACTGCAGATAAAGCTAATCAGGGGAATAGGAATCAAAAAGAATCATTACAGAGCTTTAAAGCTGAGCCTCAGACATCAGCACTAAGTGGCTGCCCTGGCCAGCGTTGCCCATTTCCCTGCTGCAGCTGCCTTTGAATTAGCATCTTGGGCTCCTAATGACAGGGCAAATTGAGTGGTGATAGCCCAGAGCTCTGTGGCAGGGTGACAGCTTTGTCACAGTGTCCCCTCTGCATGCTCAGATCTGCCTTCACACCCTGGATGGAGATGGAAATTGGAGACTTCTTCATTAAGATCACAGGAGATTTAATTGCTGTGCCAGACACCATAGACATGCTGTATTCAGCTCCTGGTCTAGGGATGGGTCTGGGGAGAACTGAGAGTATTTTGGTCCTCTGACCAATATTCTGTCCAGGGAGGAACTCTCCTCACTGACTTCTGCTCAATGCTCCTCACTGATTCTCCTCAATGCTCCTCACTGACTTCTGCTCAATGCTCCTCACTCACTTCTCCTCAATGCTCCTCACTCACTTCTCCTCAATGCTCCTCACTCACTTCTGCTCAGAGCAGATCCCATGTGCTGATGCCTCCAGCATCATCCCTGGGGAATCTGTGCCAAAGTGAACATCCTTTCACTCATGGCAAGAGAAAAGGGCAAGGCTCTCTCCAGAGTGTCTCCTCTGGCTGCATCTGCTGCTGTTTCCTTTCTCAGCCCTTCCTTGGAGGAGCAGCAGAGACAGTGCAGAAGCTGCACTGGTGGTTGCCCTTGGCTCCAGGAGCTCTCAGAGCTGTTGGTCTCATGCAGGCAGAGGTGGCTGAGCACAAACTCAGCTCTCAGAGCATGTTGGAGCTGCTGTCCCCAGCCCTGCATGCAGCACACCAAGGCTCAGAGGCACAGGGAGCCAATGTTTGACAGCAGAAAATCTTCCAGGGTAAATAGGCTGAGAAAACAGTGACTCATGGTTTGCTCATGTGGGAGCTAATCAGTGAGCAACAAAGGATCCTAAACACAGGCTTGTTGCAAGGCAGATTTACATGTGTTGAGGGGTTGTAGATGTGCAGCAGAGCAGCTGCAATGGGCCTCGCTGGAATCAGGCACTGGGGCAAGGCAGCAGCTGCTCCCACTCTGTGCTCTCTGAGGAGGAAATCCCTGGGATGTCTGCACCAACCTCAGGGAGTGAGGACATGGCCACAGCTGTCCTGGTGTGCTCGCTGGGGCATGTGGGACAGAGGTTGTGTCCCCTGGGACAAGGATCTCTTCCTTGGGAGAGGGATATAAAGGGATCTCTCCCCTGTGGGATGCAGATTGTGTCCCCTGGGAGAGGGATCTAAAGGGATCTCTTCCCTGTGGGACAGAGGCTGTGTCCCCTGGGACAAGGATCTTTTCCTTGGGAGAGGGATATAAAGGGATCTCTCCCCTGTGGGATGCAGATTGTGTCCCCTGGGAGAGGGATCTAAAGGGATCTCTTCCCTGTGGGACAGAGGCTGTGTCCCTTGGGACAGGGATCTCTTCCCTGGGGGAGGGATCTCCCCCTTGTGAGAGGGATCTAGAGGGATGTGGGACAGAGGTTGTGTCCCCTGGGAGAGGGATCTCTCCCTGGGAGAGGGATCTAGAAGGATCTCTCCCCTCTGGGACAGAGGTTGTGTCCCCTGGGAGAGGGATCCAGAGAGATCTCTCCAATGTTGGACAGAGGCTGTGTCCCCTGGGACAGGGATCTCTCCCCTGGGAGAGGGATCTAGAAGGATCTCTCTCCTGTGGGACAGAGGTTGTGTCCCCTGGGACAAGGATCTCTTCCTTGGGAGAGGGATATAAAGGGATCTCTCTCCTGTGGGATGCAGATTGTGTCCCCTGGGAGAGGGATCTAAAGG